TTACTAGAACAACTAGACCCATTTCCAGAATACCCAACATTACATTCACAGTCAAAAAAACCTTCATTGTCAGTACAGGTAGCACTGGAATGACAAGGGTTAGTCAAACATTCATCAATGTCTAGAAAATGACATATAAAAAACATAAAAAACAATGACAAAATAAAGGCAATATAAATAAAACTAAAAAACTTAATTGTCCTACGTTCCTAAGATGTCGTGGCTTACTTCTACAAACAGTTCCGTTCCCATTGAATCCAGTTTTACAACGACAAATGTATGAACCATGGGAATCCAAACAGTCTGCATTTACATGACACGAAATACGTAAACATTCATCAATATCTGAAAGAGGAAAACTAAAATATTTGCAAAACGCAAACTTGCACAATTTGAAACAACCATTTTGTTTCACACTAACTTGCACAATTTAAAATTCCATCTCCAGAAAACCCATTATTGCATTGACAAACAAAAGAACCATCATTGTCAGTACAGGTAGCATTGTGATGACAAGGATTTCTTGAACATTCATTGATGTCTAAAAATATCATACAATTACAAACAATAAATACAAGTAACAAAACAATGAGTTATTAGGAAAAGCAGAATAGTTTAGATACACTACATCCATCAATGAACGGTTTACTTACTAGAACAATTAAATCCATTTCCTGAATACCCAACATTACATTCACAAACAAAAGAACCTTCATTATCAGCGCAGGTAGCATTGGAATGGCATGGATTGGTTAAACATTCATTGATGTCTAAAAAGAAAGCATGCAAGTAACAAACAATGAGTTATTCGGAAAGGTAGATTATTTTAGACACACCATAGAAAGATTTACTTACTAGAACAATTAAATCCATTTCCAGAATATCCAACATTACATTCGCAGTCAAAAGAACCTTTATTGTCAGTGCATGTGGCATTGGGATGACATGGCTTGCTTGGACATTCATTAATGTCTAGAAAGAGAATACAACAATCAAACAATAAGTGATTTAAACAAGGTAAAATACCTTAGACACACCAGTGAAATTACTTACTTGAACAATTAAATCCCGTCCCATTATATCCAACATTACATTCACAGTCAAATGAACCTTCAATGTCAGTACAGCTAGCATTGAGATGACATGGGTTGCCTGAACATTCAATGATGTCTAAAAAGAAAGCATACAAGTAACACACAATGAGTTATTAAAAAATGTAAAATATTTTAGATACGGCAATGAAAAATTTACTTACTAGAACAATTAAATCCAGTTCCAGAATACCCAACCTTACATTCACAAACAAAAGAACCTTCATTGTCAGAACAGGTAGCGTTGGGATGACATGGGTTGCTTGAACATTCAACGATGTCTAAAGATATTATGCAAATAAGAATCAACAAATGATATAAAAAGATAAAATATTTCAGATTTATTGAAGAAATATTAACTTACTAGAACAATTAAATCCAGTTCCAGAATACCCAACCTTACATTCACAAACAAAAGAACCTTCTTTGTCAGTACAAGTAGCATTGGGATGACATGGGTTGCATGAACATTCATTGATGTCTAAAAAGATTTTAAAAAGTAATAAACAATAAGTGAGTAAAAAAGGTAAAATATTTTAGATTTATAACTGAATGATTTACTTACTAGAACAATTAAATCCATATCCAGAATACCCAACATTACATTCACAGTCAAAAGAACCTTCATTGTCAGTAGATATACCATTGGGATGACATGGGTTGCTTGAACATTCATTGATGTCTAATAAGATAGTATACACAGAACAAACAATGGATGATTTAGAAAAGGTAAAATATTTTGGACACACCAATGAAAGATTTACTTACTAGAACAATTAAATCCATTTCCGGAAAACCCAACATTACATTCACAGTCGAAAAAACCTTCATTGTCAGTACAGGTAGCATTGGCATGACATGGGTTCGTCAAACATTCATCAATGTCTAGAAAATGACATATAATAAACATAAAAATAAAACAAATAAACAATAAAGGCATTATAAACAAAACTAAAAAAAACTTGTCCTACGGCTACGTTCGTAAGATGTCGTGGCTTACTTTCACATAAAGTTCCGTTCCCATTGAATCCAGTTTTACAACGACAAATATATGAACCATAAGAATCCAAACAGTCTGCATTTACATGACATGAAATATGTAAACATTCGTCAATATCTGAAAAAAGAATATGAAAAAATTTGCAAAACGCAGAAAACTAATAAACAAGATTCCATTTTGTTTCATACTAACTTGCACAATTTGAAATTCCATCTCCAGAAAACCCATTATTACATTGACAAACAAAAGAACCCTCATTGTCAGTGCAACTGGCATTACCGTGACATGGGTTGCTTGAACATTCATTGATGTCTGAAAAGATCATACAAATTACAAACAATAAGTGATTAATTAAAAAAGGAAATAACATTTTAGACAAATCAATGAAAGATTCACTTTTTCAAAGATTTACTTACTAGAACAATTAAATCCACTTCCAAAATACCCAACATTACATTCACAAACAAAAGAACCTTCATTGTCAGTGCAGGTAGCATTGGGATGACATGGCTTGCTTGAACATTCATTGATGTCTAAGAAGATTATACAAATAAGAAACAACAAGTGATTAAAAAAAGGCAGAATACTTTGGACTTACCAATGAAAGATTTACTTACTAGAACAATTAAATCCATTTCCAGAATACCCAACATTACATTCACAGTCAAAAGAACTTTCATTGTCAGTACATGTAGCATTGGGATGACATGGGTTGCTTGAACATTCATTGATGTCTTAAAAAGATTACACAAATAAGAAACAATGAGTTAGTAAAAAAGGTAAAATAGTTTAGACACGCGAATGAAAGATTTACTTACTAGAGCAATCAAATCCATTTCCAGAATATCCAACATTACATTCACAAACAAAAGAACCTTCATTGTCAGTACAGGTAGCATTTTGATGACATGGGTTGCTTGAACATTCATTGATGTCTAAAAAGATTAGACAAATAAGAAACAATGAGTGATTAAAAACGGTTAAATATTTTGGACACACAAATGGAAGATTTACTTACTAGAACAATTATATCCATTTCCAGAATACCCAACATTACATTCACAAACGAAAGAACCTTCATTGTCAGTACAGGTAGCATTAAGATGACATGGGTTGCTTGAACATTCATTGATGTCTAAAGGGGATTACACAAATAAGAGACAGAAAGTGATTAAATAAAGTAAAATATTTCAGACGCATTAACGAAACATTTATTTACTTGAACAACTAAATCCATTTCCAGAAAACCCAACATTACATTGACAGACAAAAGAACCTTCATTGTCAGAGCAGTTGGCATTAATATGACATGGCTTGCTTGAACATTCATTAATGTCTAAAAAAGATCACACAAATAGCAAACGTTGGTAGATATAAATATGATAAAGACACACCATCAGCTACAAAATAAAAGAAAACAGGAAAACAGTTTCTAATTTTCGTCAATTCTAATTTACAGTTTATTTGACTTGCATGGTAATCTCTGAATTTCGACAAAAAGTTCTTTTCTTTCGGCGATATTTTAAAACTTAAGAAAAATATATGCAGTTTAAAACAATGGATGAACAAGCAAGGATTAATGTGCTGGTGGATTATGGTAAATTGATTTATATCAATGGGTGGTGGGCATTGATTACCTTCGCATTTACAATAGAAGTAGGAATGTTCAGATTTGAGTTCCACTACGCCTTTAACATATTAATGAATCAGATACATTTAATCTATATGCACGAATCAAATGCGTATTAAGCCACTGACAGGTAGCGGTAGTGGAAGTCAAATTTGTACCTCTCTATTGTCATTAGTCATACAAAATTACCACAAATTTCTTCAAGAGGTGTTGCCGAAATTTAGTGTTAATAATATACATAAAAATATCACTCGACTGTGATTGGTTGATTTCAGTGCAGTTAATCCCAAATAGCAGTGCAATTTTCTGTAATCACAGTGCAACCCTTTGTAATCACAGTGCAATTTTTTGTAATCACAGTGCAAAAATCTGTAACAAGCTGATCTGATTGGTGGAAAAACACGGCGCCGCGCTACATAAAGTAAAAGTTGATTTCGGTTGGAAAATATGGCTTCTATCTTTCTTTTAAATGGAAAAGCCATTACCTTAAACAAGACTAACATAACTTAAATAGTTGAGTGGAATTTTCAAGCTGTTAGCGTTGTATTAAATGTGATATAACAAGGGCTGGAAAACTTTGCCAGTGGACTTTTTGCGCACTTCCACACTTGAGTAGGTTCAGAATTTGAATCTCGCATTTGATTGGCCATTTGTAAAAATATGTCAAACCGGTTCGGGAAACAAACATTAGCTAGCTTGCATGCAGCTAATGTTTATTTCGCAAAGCGGTTTGACATCTTTTTACAAATGGCCAATCACATGCGAGATTCAAATTCTGAACCTAATCAAGTGTGGAAGTGGGATTTGCAACCGTTGCAGAGGCTCTTTCTTCTCGCGTCTCATTTATTTCGCCTCACAAACAGCCTCTTGAACTAGGGTACTTTTCGCTATAAACGCAAGTTAATTAAACTATTGTCTCAAACATTTTTATGTAAATTGTTAATAAGTAATAGCATGGTTTCTCGTGAAATTTGGATAAACATGCACTCGTGAGCTTTCAAAAACCTCAAATAGCGCTCGTCCTTCGGACTCGTGCTATTTTGAGGTCTTTGAAAAACTCACTCGAGCATGTTATATCCAAATTGCACTCGAAACCATACCTATACTAATACATTGATATTCAAAGTAAAGATATTTTTTCAATCCAGAACATGGACGACCAGAGACCAAGTAGGTGTCATTCACAGTTATACTACACTCATGTTGACGATCACAATGTTTCTTAACATGATATGTTACATTAACTTCACAATTATAATCATCACTCAAACCACATGTCTTGTTGGTAGACAGTCCACGGTAAGATGCATTCTTGACCACCATGTACTGATCTTTAGGACAGTTGGCATTCTTTACCATATTTCCATAACACGTCACTGAACCTGGAACAGAACAAAAATTTAGAAATGACGAGCACTAAATGACAGTATCAAGTAGGGCAAGAGATTTTGTTGAACGGCATAGTGATGTATACAAAATGCAAAACACCATTGCTGGACATGATATTCTAATACAGAAATTCAGCATTATATGAAATATTTGGAACAACCATAGAGTCTTGCTCGTGATTTACTTAATAAGGAAAATCTAATTATACGTGGAGTTCAACAAGCTCTGCCTCAGTCTTTGAACTGCTACGTTTTATTTTCTTCATCAATCGATGACATATAATGTATATAGTTTTTGCTTTTGTGGACAACATTAAGGCGTTAGCAGTTCCCGAGGTAACTGAATAATTCTCACATGTATAAAGAAGGTATAAACCATGTAATATGTTTTTTGCAATGCGCTTCCCAGGTATGGCATTTTAATATTCCTGACTATTTATGCGAGGAGATTGAAATCCTGCAGAAGCGTGCATTGAGAATAATTGTACCTTCTTTAATTAGAGCGAAGTTACACAAAAATGTTAACTTTAAAGGAACGCCGTGAGAAACTATATGTGATAAATGTTTAAGAAACAACCATACTAAT